ATATATTTTTTTTTATTCCTTTAGCCACATACAACATAAACGATGAAATAATCAAGGTATTCAAACCAGTCTACCAGCAACAAACTATCTCAAATCTTTATGTAATATCACCAAAAAAGCCGATCTAATTTTTTTTCAATTCTTTTTCTAATTCAGACCTTAACAAACGAACCTTCCAATCATGATCATTTCTCGAGATATCAGCACAAAACCCAACATTACCGTATTTTAACTCGTTAACTGAATAGAGAAAAAATCAACTATCTTTCGCCTTAAGTGGGTAGAGCAACAGGATACGGTTGGATGCGGATGTGTGTGCGGTGTAAGTGTGGGTATGGTGAATGGATATAATAAGTGAGTTCACTAATGGCAGACACCCAGTCATGCAAATTCATCTAAATGAAAAATTCAAATTCAGAAAGGACTACGATAATCGATTAATGCCGAGCTTTAGCTATGAGTGTCAGTCTGAGCCGTTGCCCTCTCGTAGAAAGGTGCTGGACAATGAATTTCAAAGTAGCTACATAAGGTGGCTAGCGATGATGAATATCGTGAGCTGGATATCAGAAAGAAAAAAAAAACATACAATTAAACAAAACACACCAGTCACGTATAACACACCTTCCAAAAAGGTGGAGGAGACTTCGCTCCAGCGAAGTCGACGACTGTGTTCCTACACACACCAGTCACGTATAACACGCCTTCCAAAAAGGTGGAGGAGACTTCGCTCCAGCGAAGTCGACGACTGTGTTCCTACACACACCAGTCACGTATAACACACCTGCCTAAAAGGTGGAGGAGAGTTCGCTCCAGCGAAGTCGACGACCGTGTTCCTACACACACCAGTCACGTATAACACACCTGCCAAAAAGGTGGAGGAGACTTCGCTCCAGCGAAATGGAAGATTGTATTCGTACACAGCTGTCATGGATTCTTGTGTTCGGTGAGTTTTTTTAAGTCCTTGGAGTGGACCTGATTGAAATAACGAAAATCGTGAGTGAATTTGGTTTCTAGCAATGGAGGTGTTTGTGTTGTTGAGCGAAAAGACTAGATATTTTTACATCAAAAGAAAGCTCTCATCGCCAATATAACAAGGTTAAAATATTAGCTGCTGTTGGCTACTCTAGAGGGAGATATTCAATTTTTACGATATTCACCGTTTAGGTATATTTGAATATTAGGACCATTTACATCGATTTTTTATGCAATCAATTAAGTATTTTACCATTAGACTTGAAAGATCTCATTGAAATTTATTAATATAGCATTGAGATCATATTAGTTTTGATGTCTTTTCGAGCTTAAGTAGTAATCAATAGCTTCAAGTCGCAAATAGTTTTCATTTTATTTAAGTTGAAAATAATAGATTATATAATAGTCAATTTTAAGAAATTAAGTACAAGTGTAGATGTAAATCTTCAACTAGATGGTAGTAACAAAGGGTGTTTTTACACCAAGAGCACATTAATAATGTTCGCTCATTGCAATTGTTTATTGAACAGTATAGATCATAAAATCGGAAGCAAACATCTTTTGGTTTTTCAATCTGTCCAATTGTTTCATTTGTTATTCGAGTTTGTACGAATCCATTTTGAATCAGATTTGTAAATGCTGGAGCTGATAATTGATAATGAATAATACAGTGTACGTTGATGAAATATTGACGATCATTTATAGTCATTTCTGTTCGATTGATATGAGTATAATGCTCGTTTTTTTCATGAATAAATCGTCATGAACGAAATAAAGAAAGATCTTGTGGTTGAATATAGCCTGTTGATCCCTCGAGAAAAATCAATAAGTGACTGTTTTGATTAGGAAACACTGCTCTAAATTTAGTTAGATCAGCTTGCGTTTTCCAACAATCAAGGAAGAGAAGAAATTTTTTGCCTACCAATGGACGTAGAACTTCAGTTAGAAAAGCGTGATGTTTTTCACCACTGCTTTTTTCAGATTTAGAAGCTTTTACTACAACATTTGGTGGTATAATTAATTTTTTTTCTACTCTTTGACCGAACTGATTTTCTTTTTCTTGAAGGATAAGTTAGAATTTTTCCAATAAATGTCCATTGGCTAATGTAACTGGTTGAATTGTATAAGAATGAGTTGTATTATATTTCTTTTTAACGGCTACTTCTGTTGTTCTCTCGCCAGTAAAAGATAGGGTTCTTGGAGATACATATTCTTGTTGGAATGAACAATGATTGCTGTTTAAGATTTCATTCGTAGAATACTTTGATATTAAAGGTCTTTTACTTTCGATCCAATTATGAGCATCTAAAATATATATGCACATTACATTTAGACACACGTACTTAAAGATGAAATAGAAGTTTACATACCGTCTAAACTGCACGTTTTTTTGTTTGATTTAGTTCGAGTAATTATTTTGTTACATCGTCTTGATGATATTCTGTTTTCTCTTTTAAAATTATTGATAAATGATTTACTTGCCTTGAACGTATCGCAATCTAATTCTCTTGCTTCTAGGATTGCAAAAAGTTCTAGATCAGCATCATGAACGGCTTCTTTTTCAATTGTTTTTTTCACATAGAATTCATTAAACATAAATTCTTTAATTTGCTTTAATTTTTCTAATCTCGTGCCGTTGTTTTCGATATATTGTCTGAACCTTGGAATATAATGCATGTATTTGACTTTTCTAAATCGACAGGAAATAGTTGCGAATCCAGCATACGGATGTTGGTCAACCCATTCGATTATCTTTTCCATTTCTTCTAACGTAAAAGTACTTTTTAAATCAGAATATTCATTCTCATTGTAATCATCAATTTCATCGCCGTCTTCTTCATCAGTCATTTCATCAAATTCATCTTCAAATTCGAGAGTATCATAAGAATACAGATCATTGAAGTAACTGTCTTTAAATGACTTCAGAATTTCGAACAGTCGTTCGGCAGCAAAGATTTCATCGGCAATTGTTGCAGAATTTTCAGATGTGTATTCAGTATCAGCCAAATAAAGAAGGTGTTCAGCGATGTTTAATAAATTCATTTTTTAATTGAAGAAATAAAATTTTAATTTCAATAGATCCAACAGAGAACAAAATAGAATAACTTTTCAATAGTACATTTCTTGGTGATTTTTTAACACCAATTGCAAATAAACGGTCAATAGACCACCAAGTGATGCATCAATGCACTTCAAGTTCGCATATTACACGCATAAGTCACTTTTCAAACAATCATATGTCTTTTTCTCCATTTCGATACTACTTAAGCTCGAAAAGACATCAAAACTAATATGACCTCAATGCTATATTAATAAATTTCAATGAGATCTTTCAAGTCTAATGGTAAAATACTTAATTGATTGCATAAAAAATCGATGTAAATGGCCCTAATATTCAAATATACCTAAATGGTGAATATGGTAAAAATTGAATATCTCCCTCTAGNGTATACAAAGTGAAAATGTTCAAGTAAGTTTGTCGTTTAAATTTCAACATATTTCTCTATAGATTTTAGTTTACTTTTATTTTGTAATTCGACTTATAAGATTCATTATATTGATGACTCGTCTTTTATTGTATATTTCTTACAATGGAGGTGTTTGTATTGTAAGTTGAAAAGACTAGACATTTTTACATCAAAAGAAAGGTCTCACCGCCAAACTAACAAGGTTAAAATATTAGCGACCTTTGGCTTGTCTAGAGGGAGATATTCAATTTTTACCATATTCATGATTTGGGTATATAGGAACATTAGGATAATTTACGTTAATTTTTTATGCAATCAATTAAGTATTTCACTAGTAGGATTTAAGGATCTTTCTGGAATTTATCAATAGCATTAAGATCACATTAGTTTCGATGTCTTTTCGAACTTAAGTAGTATCGATATAGTTAAAGGTCAGCTAGTAGTTATCAATATCTTCAAATCCCCAATAGTTTCCATTTTATTTTAATTGAAAACAATAATTATATAATAGGCTATTTTAAGAAATTCACTACAAGTGCAGATGTAGATCTTCAACCAGATGGTAGTAACAAAGAGTTTTTTTTACACCAATCACACATTAATAATGTTCGTTCATTGCAATTGTTAATTGAACAGTAGAGATCATAAAATCTGAAGCAAACATCTTTTGGTTTTTCAATCTGTCCAATTGTTTCATTTGTTATTTGAGCTTGTATAAATCCATTCTTAATAAGATTTGTAAATGCTGGAGCTGATAATTGATTATGAATAATAGAATGTATGTTGATGAAATATTGACGATCACTTATAGTCATTTCTGTTCGATTGATATGAGTATAATGCTCGATTTTTCATGAATAAATCGCCATGAACGAAACAAAGAAAGATCTTGTGGTTGAATATAACCGGTTGATTCTTCGGGAAAAATCAATAACTGACTGTCTTGATTAGGAAATACTGGTCTAAATTTTGTTAGATCAGCTTCAGTTTTCCAAGAATCAAGGAAGAGAAGAAATTTTTTACCCACCAAAGGACGTCTAAGTTCAGTTAAAAAAGCGTGATGTTTTTCATCACTGCTTTTTCCAGATTTTGAAGCTCTTACTACAACATTTGGTGGTACAGTTAAATTGTTTTGCACTCTCTCACCGAATTGATTTTCTTTTTCTTGAAGGATCAGTAAGAACTTGTCTAGTAATTGCCCATTAGCTGATGTAACTGGTTGAACTGTATAAGAATGTGTTGTATTATATTTNTTATGCAATCAATTAAGTATTTCACTAGTAGAATTTAACGATCTTTCTGAAATTTATCAATAGCATTAAGATCACATTAGTTTCGATGTCTTTTCGAACTTAAGTAGTATCGATATAGATAAAGTTCAGCTAGTAGTTATCAATATCTTCAAATCACCAATAGTTTCCATTTTATTTTAATTGAAAACAATAGATTATATAATAGACTATTTTTAAGAAATTCACTACAAGTGCAGATGTAGATCTTCAACCAGATGGTAATAACAAAGAGTTTTTTTTACACCAATCACACATTAATAATGTTTCGTTAATTGCAATTGTTAATTGAACAGTAGAGATCATCAAATCTGAAGCAGACATCTTTTGGTTTTTCAATCTGTCCAATTGTTTCATTTGTTATTTGAGCTTGTATAAATCCATTCTTAATAAGATTAGTAAATGCTGGAGCTGATAATTGATTATGAATAATATGATATATGTTGATGAAATATTGACGATCACTTATAGTCATTTCTGTTCGATTGATATGAGTATAATGCTCGATTTTTTCATGAATAAATCGCCATGAGCGAAACAAAGAAAGATCTTGTGCTTGAATATAACCGGTTGATCCTTCTGGAAAAAGCAATAAGTGACTGTCTTGATTAGGAAATACTGCTCTAAATTTTGTTAGATCAGCTTGAGTTTTCCAAGAATGAAGGAAGAGAAGAAATTTTTTACCCACCAAAGGACGTAGAACTTCAGTTAAAAAAGCGTGATATTTTTCATCACTGCTTTTTCCAGATTTTGAAGCTCTTACTACAACATTTGGTGGTACAATTAAATTTTTTTGCACTCTCTGACCGAATTGATTTTCTTTTTCTTGAAGGATCAGTAAGAACTTGTCCAGTAAATGCCCATTAGCTGATGTAACTGGTTGAAATGTATACGAATGTGTTGTATTATATTTCTTTTTAACTGCCCCTTCTGTTGTTCTTTCACCAGTAAAAGAAAGGATTCTTGGAGATACATATTCTTGTTGAAATGAACAATAATCGCTGTTTAAGATTTCATTAGTAGAATACTTTGATATTAAACGTCTTTTAGTTTTGATCCAATTGTGAGCATCTAAAATATATATGCATATTACATTCAGACACATGTACTTATAAATCCAATAAAAGTTTACGTACCATCTAAGCTGCAATTTTTTTTTGTTTGCTTTAGTTCGAGTAATCATTTTGTTATATCTTCTTGATGATATTCTATTTTCCTTTTTAAAAGTATTGATAAATGATTTGCTGGCCTTGAACGTATCCCAATCTAATTCTCTTGCTTTCTGAATTGCAAAAAGTTCTAGATCAGCATCATGAACGGCTTCTTTTTCGATTGTTCTTTTCATATAGAATTCATTAAACATAAATTCTTTAACTTGCTTTAATTTTTCTAATCTTGTGCCTTTGTTTTCAACATATTCTCTAAACCTTGGAATATAATTCATGGATTTGATTTTTTTAAATCGATTGGAAATAGTTGCGAATCTAGCATTCGGATGTTGATCAACCCATTCAATTATATTTTCCATTTCTTCTAATGTAAAACGATTTTTTATATCAGAATGTTCATTCTCATTGTAATGGACAATTTCATCATTGTTTTCTTCTTCATCAGTCATTTCATCAAATTCATCTTCAAGTTCGAGAGTATCATAAGAATACAACTCATTGAAGTAGCTGTCTTTAAATGACTTCAGAATTTCGAACAATCGTTCTGCAGCAAAAACTTCATGGGCATTTGTTGCAGAATTTCCAGATATATAGTCAGTTTCAACCAAATAAAGAAGGTGTTTAGCCACGTTCAATAAATTCATTTTTTAATTTGAAGAAATAAACTTTTTAATTCGATCGATTCAGCAGAGAACAAAACAGAGCAACTCTTCAATAGTATATTTCTTTGTGATTTTTTAACACCAATTGCAAATAAATGGTCAACAAGAACTATTCACATATTAAAAATTTCTTTGTTTTTTTAAAATCCTCCCTCCTATTATACTAACATTAGCATTATTATAATTTATAAAAAATCAGCTTGCCATCACTATTCACATCCCAAATCATCTATCTATCTTAAACAACGTTAACATAGTATATAAATAGCCTTTTAGACCAGCAAGTGATGCATCAATGCACTTTAAGTTCGAATATTATACGCACAAGTCACTTTTCAAACAATCATATATCATTCTTTCCATTTCGATATAACTCAGGTTCGAAAAGACATCGAAACTAATGTGATCTTAATGCTATTGATAAATTT